TAATCTATATTAAAAAACCCAAGTGTATATATTTTTCACGTGGCACCCACGATGAACACGATGGCCGATCGGAAATGCCGTTGTAGACAAAATTGTTCTTTGTTTGGCAGCCGACGTTAAAGACGTGCCTTCCACCAAAAAAACGTTAAAGACGTGCCGTACGTAAACTGGTTATTTTGTGGACGTTAGTATTTTAACGGACAAAATTGTCCTTGACAGAGGAAAGTCCCCAAAAATGACAAAGAAAGAAGATGAAAATAATTTTAAAGAAACCTTACCTGGTGCTGAGTGGAGGACAGAAAGTGATAAGGTAATCGGCATGTGCGCATGTGAAGGTGCTGGTCTTGTCATCATAGGCATAGCTGTAGGCGTCTGGACAAAAGTTCTTGAAGATCTGGGAGTAGTTAGATGGCTTGCAAACGTCGGGTGTGCTATACGCGCCGCTGCAACAATACTGCGGCTGCTGGAACGCTAGACAGGCGCTCTTGCAGGCGACGCTCTCCTTGCCGTCTACGCTGGTGACTTTCAGCTCAGATGGACATGAGCCATTGAGGTCCCCTATGCAGCTCGTGGTTGTACAGTTGTTTCCTGTACCACCTTGAGGAGTTACCTGCATAGCAAGGTTGTACCCGTCTACCAAACTCAAATCGAAAAAATCCATCCCGCCAGCACCGTTGAGAGTAAATTCCGCCAGCGTCGCGGGCGGAACAGCGCCACTCCCTGAGCATTCTACCTTTCCGGATCCGCAATCTCCTGTAGCACAGGAGAATTTCCCGGTGGAATCCTCGGAACAGAGTGTTCGACCCCAGAAACGACCTGCCCAGGCTGCCGGTGCGTTAATAGTCTTGGTTTCATCCTTCTGGAGGGCGAAGCCAGTAGTGGAAATTGCTGCAACTCCTGGATTCGTAAGAATGCCAGGCCAAACAGTATACTCGCATTTGTTCGACAATGTAAAAGTGGTTGCTAACACTCCTGTTTCAATTAATGGAACAATAATCAACTTCAAAAATCCGCGTCCCAAAATCAAATTAAACAAAAAAAGAGCCAACAGTTAGGAATCAGAATTGCCAAACCGTACCTGACAAGAACAAATTGGAAACAACAAAACAGAAGAGAGTCAATTGTATTAGCGCAGCCATTGGGGTTGACATAATAAGTCAGCTAGAAATTTCTTAATAAGTTGTTGAAGAAGTAGTTGGGACGACCAACGGCAGGCGGATCCCAAGCTCTTTCTTCTTCAAATTAAAGAGGGAGACGAAGAGAACTAAAATGTGAGAATCTGCATTGCGGGGAAAGGTGAAGTATTTATAGTGGAAAAGGTCAATTTTTTTTCTTTGAAAATGGATACGGTCAGTTTAGGTGTTCGTACATAATTTTTCTTTGCCCTGGTTACAATTCGGGTTGGATTCAAGGTCTTATAATAAAATATATAATTATTATGTCATAAAACTAAGATGCTTACACAAGTATATTTGTTTAGCATTATATCATAATTATAAAATTATAATTTTAATAAAATTTAATAATTTTACTTAAGGGCACACTAAAGTTTAAGAAAAGGTCTACCATATAACCGGGTTAATAATATTATTAGAACTCAGCAAATTAAAGAAGGTATTTCATCATATCAAAAAGACACAAAATTTTAACTAAAAAAAAAAACCAGAGGCACCTAGCCCTTGAGTCCCAGTTACATTAGTCACCCGGTATATTTCCCGAGCAGGTTCGAAATCCGTCCCTGCAAAATATGTTCAAAAAAAAAAAAAAAAACCAGAGAATTTCATTAGCACTAACATTCTCTCTCCTCTGCTCATCACATCTCTCTCATATCCGTCTTCTTCCCCAAATCTTTACTCTCTTCCTCCACAGAATTTCTCCCCTGACAAGAATATATATCTGAAAAGCGAGAAGAATTTCATATTAATAAACTCAATTAGGTGTTACAAATCGTTAATTATCTTATTGCAATATCTTTTTCAATCTGATCTTGCTTTCTCAAATCTTAATATTTATGCGTATCTGTTTAATTTTGTTTCTCTTGATCGTTATGGTGATACAAGTAAGGCAACCATGATCTTGTTAGGGGATGCCGAGATGTTAATTCAATTTTAGAACCACGAAATTTTAAGTTCTCGAGCATTTAACCATCTAAAGTTTTGTAATCTTGGGATAATTGAAGAAATGCACAAAACTTTTTTTCCAAATTGGAACCTTTAAAAGTGGCTTTAAGGGTGGAGTTCATGTTGTCGGGGATGTCGAGGTTGAAGATATAGCTGGTGGTATATATTATCTATGCGAAGAAAGTGACTTTAAATCGAATGTGTTTTAGGAATACTGGAATTTCATATCAGTAAATTCAAGTGGGTTCTAAGCATAGAAGTACTCAAATAAAATGCTCTTTCAGTTTACATAAATCCAAGCATGGAATTTGTCTTTGATCCTAAATCCCAGACTTAAAAACTAACCAGATCTAAAATAACTCATATGTTTGAGAGTTAAAAGAGAAAAAGGAAGCGATCTCGTTGGAGCGAGTTGTGGTTAGGGGCGAGCAGGGGCGGAGGAGATGGAAAATTTGCAGGGGATGAGTAGAATACAGGTGGGGAAAGGGGAGGAGAGAGAGACTGTTTTTTTTTTTTTTTTTTTTTTTTTTTCTTTTTTTTCTTTTTTTTTTAGGGTTACGTTAAATTGTAAATGTCAATTATATCCCTCAACTTTTAATTTTGAACATTTTCGTTCTTAAATTATTTTTTTATATTTTTTTATTCTTGAATTATAAAAAAATACAGTTTTTTAAATTTTTTGTCAATTAATTTGTTCAAATATATATACAATTTTAGTCACTAAATTTATAAATTTTGATATTAAAATTGTGTATATATATATAGATAAATTTGAATAAATTAATTGATGAAATTTATAATTTAAGAATTAAAAAAGTACAAAAAATAGTTTTAAAAAATGTTCAAAATTAAAAATTAAGAAAATTTATTTTTCATATTTTTTTGACACACAATAATTAAGATTAAATTTTAAGTTTGTGTTTAAAAATATAAATAATTTTATTATTAAATTATATAATTGATGATAGATTTATATATATAAGCAATGAAATATGCCTGTTTGGTCAGTAACATAAATGCATTGCCATTTGCTTAGGCAAAGAAGTAAAGTCTCTTTAGTGTAGTGGAGAGGAGTAATTCCATGATGAAAATTGGCAGTCATGTTTGGTATGTCTTAAATTTGGTTGCAACAAATTCCATTAAAATTTTCGTGTAGATATTTTAATTGTAGATTCTAGATATATATATATATATAATTTGTCTTTAATTTCTTATCAATTATTTAATTCCATTATACATTTTACCTCAATCTAAGTTTAGTTAATGCACTCTTACTAAATAGGAACGACAAAACTTATTGTCACGCATGGAGATTTGCCTAACCTGGGGGCAATTGTTAGGGGAAAACAATTAATTAAATTTATTTTATTTTAATTTAGCAATTCCATGAGATAAAGTTTCATTTTGTATCCGTAGTAGTTAACCTGTTAGAACCAGCCTTTGACAAAATGTAGGTTTTCGTTTTGCTCGAGATCATGGCACTCTTCGTGTTCCTTAAGAAAAACATAGGAATTGGCAAGAGAAAGGGATAGAACATCTAAGTCTTTGATTGGGAGTGTTATGTTGTGTGCTGTGCGTTGTAGTCATAACTATAGTTGTATTTTAATTATTATTTTAAATATAAATGAAATATTAATTAAAATTAATAAAAATAAACTAACATTAATTAAAATTAATTAAACAAATAAATTATTTTTTTTAGACAAAGTATTTTGAATAAAAAAATTGAATAAAATTTTGTCAAATGAAGACTAAACTTATTATGAGTAAACAAAAATATTGTTACCGGTGAGAGAAAAATAATTTATCACAAACAATTCAAGCCATGCAAATTACATTAAATTTTTGTTGAAAGATGAATTTTCAAACGGTAGTGATATGCGTATATAACATTTTAATATAATTTTTATATATTATTAAATAAATTAATATATAGAATTTATTTGTTTAATAATATAAAAAATTAATTATTAAATAATAAATAAAATTATATAAAAAATTTATTTCTCAATCATCATTCTTCTTTCCAAAAACCAGAGCAAGGGGTTCAAGCAATGTTATTGTCACTTATGCATGGCTTGATCAATTAAGTATTAAGCAATACAAAGAGGGAAAATGTGAAAAACTGTAAACTAACAAAAATTTATTGTCCATGGAAAAAAAGAAAAAAGAAAAAAAAAAAGGCTTCAACCTCAATTTGAGCCCCTTAACTTATAGAATCTATGGTTATTGGTCTCCTATCTAAAAATTCATTGCTCAAATTGAGAAATTCATGATCGTGCTGACAAATTTGGAGCGAGCTTCTCACATGTGTTAGTCAGACATCATTAGAATTCAAGATTAGAATACTAAGGATCATCCAGTATTGTCATAATTTAGAATTTTATATAAAAATCTACAAAATAAATATAATTAGTATTGAAATTTATGTTTGCCTCTCCCTAATTAACTTTTATGTAATGACAACTAATGTGTTATATCACTTCCTAATTTTATTATTTATAGAGTTAGAGTTTTCTAAATAGAAAAGGGAATTTAATCAATTATAATAATTTTTTGGGTATTCATCAAGTAACTCATCTTTAATTTCAGATCCTATACATATTTATATCACATTATATAAAACTGAGATAAATCTTAAACATATTTAGATCACATAATTTTATTAGATTTTATCGATTTTCCATTTGATCAAATTTTAAAAATCAAATAATTAGTGGTAGTTCATATAAAATTTTCCATCATTCTCACTTGGACAACACTAATAAGTTTTAAATTTTGAAAACATATTTTAAAAATGATTGTTGCGTCAAATATAACTTTAATGGCTACAAACATAGATTAAATTTTTGCATAGAATTCCATTCAATGAAAATATCAATATTAAACTGTGTGATTATTGTGTTATTAGTAACACAAAACCTCTTATAATCACAAGTATCAAATATTTCCACTAACAATAATTCCAATTAATGTTATAAAGTGTAGTGTGACTTGATATAGCATGATTTTTGTAAAATATAATATGTCAAAACTACAATAGTTCTGTTTATGGTTTCAAAAAAGTTCTTTATTAAGATGTAATTCTTTACACTTCCTCAAAGAAGTCTTTTAAATCTTATTCATAGAAATCCAAGAGATGATGTTTTATACTTTTCAAGAAAAGCTTTTATATTTCAAAAGAAGTTAATATGCTTCCAAAAAGCCTTTATGATTTAAACCTCAAGATCTTGATATCAATATTTGTGTGGGCTCATAAAAATCATTAGTAGAATGCACTTACATCATTATAAAATAATAAGTATATAATAATCAAAATAAAACTTAGTATTAACAAAAAAAATGAACTTCTTCCACTAATCAAGAATATGTAAAATAATTTTTATAAATAACTAATAAAGTTATAATCTCTTAATTAATAAATTAGTTAACACAATCATAATAATATATGACTATAGTTATTATTCATAATTTACTTTAATATCACTCTTATTTTATAAGGTAAAATCAACAACCACCTTTAATATGTCTTTTCCACCAAATTTTGTAAATAAGTCATTTATAAAATTAAATATTAACAAGTCAATTAATAAAAAAATCATCCGTCAATGAGTATGTATAAATACTCATAATCCTTACTAATTACCCTCACAAAGTTAATTCATATAATAGTTATATTTAGGCAAAATATTACATACATTAATATGAAAATAGTAACTTTATTCTTTAATTCTAATAGTTCATTTTTATTTTCCTAATAGATTAACTAGCTCTAATGACATATGCGGTTTGATATAATCAATGGATATAGAACTTTATTAAATCTCATAAATTTCCATTACAAGTAAATTAACAAAAATGATCCCACAAAAAATATTCTTTTTTGGGCAAAAAATTTTGTATGGAACCAAAATAAGAACCCTTATTAACCATTCATATTTTTTTAGTCAATGTGCATAATTATCTTCTTTGAGTAGGTATACATACACAATAATTTCAAGAAGTAAACATTTTAAAATCCTTATTGAGAACTATGTGAATATTAATAAATAACCTTCTTGAACAATACCACCTACATCAATTCATAGACTTCTACTGAAACACTAAGCTAACATAACATTCCAAAATCTTTATTGATAAGCATGTGAATTTCAACAAATG